ATGCAGTTAGAATTTATTTAGAACTACAAATTAAATTTCTTTTAGCAATTATTGTTTTTTTTAATGTCACAATTCCAACCCTGCTCCTTTATACGGGCTTGGGCCAGCAAAAGTGACCCGAAATAGGCGCTCTGGTGGAGTTACTGTGTATGTGTGTGTGTATAAGTAGTTTTAAACCTTGTGATCCACAAAACAGCATAAGAATAAAAGAAGAACTGCGTTACAGTCAGTGCGGGAGCAGCGGCTTCGCTCATGCGCGATTCATTTGCCGTTTGGACGCACAGGTGTGAACGTCTCCTGCCCTGATAGCAGCTGGGGGAGGACTATCCTACGCCGTGAGCGCATTGGAACGGGCGAGGTGCCCACGGCAGCACCGCTGCTTGTTGAGAGTAAAAGCGATACCCGCTTTCATGTCAAAAAGTCTCCAATAATACCAGAATAAGTCGCCAGATTTGTTGCTAGTTGCTTTTTTAGAAAAAAAGTCGCTAAGGGGGTCTGAAAACTCGCTAAATATAGCAACAAAGTCGCTAAGTTGGCAACACTGGTTAGTAGGCAACCTGCCACAATAAAAGCATTATATCTGTTTAAAATTATCCTTGTTGGACAAGGGAGCAGTGAACTTACCACAAAGTAAGTTCAAAGGGTATTATTTATTTTAAACATATATTTCAATTGCTGAAGTACTTGTGACATCATTTTGAGTTAAAGTGTGTGCTTGTACATTTTATTCTGCACCTAAGTTAAGAGTTGTCTGGGGTCAATTCTTTAATTACTGTTTGAAGGGGACATGAAATGCTCCACGTATAACGGCTAATTTACCCCACTGAGCCCTGCTTTCATAAACTGGCACAGATGTAACTCTGTCTGTGAAGATGGATTTAAGAAATCAGTGCTTGAAGTCAAACAGGCTCTTGTCCTCATTTATAAAATGCTTTACAAAGTCGAACATTACGGCTAATGGTGCGTACACACCGAACGCGATAGAAGCGACCAAAGAGTCAGATTTAGATGTAAAGTCAATGGAAGGAGATTTGCGTCACAAAAACGGTTTTCTGCCTGATTCACGCGACTGATGTGATGGAAAATGCGTGCTGCAGTTTGTGTGGTACATTTTTTGCATTCGCGCTTATCGCGTCTACGGCTCGAGTTGGAAAAATCTGAACTCCAGCTTCAAGTTGCGCCGCGACAACCAATCAGGAGCCTGGTGACGTGATGCTCTGACCTGGTTCAAAGGGGCAGGTCCAGCCAAAGCCATTCATTCTTCATTCAATATGGAGCAAAGGCTCATCAACGCCGTAGCCAACCACCCGCAGCTGTACGACACCAGCTGCTTTCAAATTTATAAATTAGTTTTTTAAAACAGCACAGCTGTGTTAAATTTGGAAACATTGGACCCGAGCAATCAGTAGTTTTCTGATGAGGCAGCAGCTCTCCAGGGCAGAAACAATGTTCTTATTTTCTCCTCCTTCTCCCTGAGGCTCTTCTACTTTAAGCTGGGTCCTTTTTCTTCCTGTCTCTCTGTAAATAGTTATATTTTATATATTTACGTTTAATGTTTTTCTGTTTGAGAATTTCAATATTATTTCAAATAAATTTTTGTAATGACTGTTATGTAATGGCTGTGTGCAGGCAGGAAAAGGACCCAAAGTGCAGACTCCGGAGACAGACGTGAACTCAAAAGGGTAACAAAACTAAGAATACAAAATAACCTTCCGCACACAGCTAGATGAGGGTAGATCACAACACAGACACAGAGAAACACAGGGCTTAAATACACAGAGGGAGCAATCAGGGAATGGGAAACAGGAGGGAAACACAGCTGGG